AGAGAGAGGTTCTGGGCCCTCTGAGGTTAGTGACAGCAAAAAGAGAGAGGTTCTAGGCCCTCTGAGGTTAATGACAGCAACAAGAAAGAGGTTCTGGGCCCTCTGAGGTTAGTGACAGCAAAAAGAGAGAGGTTCTGGGCCCTCTGAGGTTAGTGACAGTAACAAGAGAGAGGTTCTGGGCCCTCTGAGGTTAGTGACAGCAACAAGAGAGGCGTTCTGGGCCCTCTGAGGTTAATGACAGCAACAAGTGAGAGGTTCTGGGCCCTCTGAAGTTAATGATAGCAACAAGAAAGGTGTTCTGGGCCCTCTGAGGTTAATGACAGCAACAACAGAGAGGTTCTGGGCTCTCTGAGGTTAGTGACAGCAACAAGAGAGAGGTTCTGGGCCCTCTGAGGTTAGTGACAGCAACAGGAGAGGTGTTCTGGGCCCTATGAGGTTAATGACAGCAACAAGAGAGGTGTTCTGGGCCCTCTGAGGTTAATGACAGCAACAGGAGAGGTGTTCTGGGCTCTCTGAGGTTAGTGACAGCAACAAGAGAGGTGTTCTGGGCAATCTGAGGTTAATGACAGCAACAAGAGAGAGGTTCTGGGCCCTCTGAGGTTAGCGACAGCAACGAGAGAGGTGTTCTGGACCCTCTAAGGTTAATGACAGCAAGAAGAGAGGTGTTCTGGGCCCTCTGAGGTTAGTGACAGCAACAAGAGAGGTGTTCTGGGCAATCTGAGGTTAATGACAGCAACAAGAGAGAGGTTCTGGGCCCTCTGAGGTTAGTGACAGCAACGAGAGAGGTGTTCTGGGCCCACTGAGGTTAGTGACAGCAACAAGAGAGGTGTTCTGGGCCCTCTGAGGTTAGTGACAGCAACAAGAGAGGTATTCTGGGCCCTCTGAGGTTAATGACAGCAACAAGAGAGAGGTTCTGGGCCCTCTGAGGTTAGTGACAGCAGAAAGAGAGAGGTTTTGGGCCCTCTGAGTTAGTGACAGCAACAAGAAAGAGAGGTTATGGCCCCTCTGAGGTTAGTGACAGCAACAAGAGAGAGGTTCTGGGCCCTCTGAGGTTAGTGACAGCAACAAGAGAGGTGTTCCGGGCCCTGTGAGGTTAGTGACAGCAACGAGAGGTGTTCTGGCCTCTGAGGTTAGTGACAGAAGGAAGTATTTCTGGGCTCTAATTGATTAGTGACACATACAAGAAAGGAGGTATGCCTCTCTGGAGGTAGTGACACGGCTAACCAAGAAGATGGTTTCTGGGCCCTCGAGTTTAGGGCTACAGCTATCAAGAGAGAGATGTTCCGGGGCCCACAGACTTATATCAAGTTCTGCTTAGAGTCACGGTACTTTTTCAGGTTTTCTTACTACTCTTCCGATTCATGTGATACTTGATACCTAGGGCTACTTCTTCCTGGGGCTAGCATGCTTTTTCCCGGGGCTAGCATAGCTTCCTGGGGCTAGTCATGCTTTTCTCCGAGAAACTACCTGCTATCCTTAAGGCTATACCATGTACTTCTGGGTAACCACTGTTTTCCTGGGGCTTACCATGCATCCCAGGGCTACCATCTTCCTGGGACCACGCTCCGCATGGTCTACCTTACTTTCAGGCTTACCTGCAACCTCTTGGGGCCTCTCCCTGGACTATCATGTCTGGCCTGTAGCTAACTTGCTCCCTGGGGCTACCGTTCTCTCGAGTACCTTTTTTCCTGGGGCCTTACATATGCCTTCCAGGTGATGATCACCAAGACTATATAACCCCATGGAAGGAAATACGTTTCATTCTTGAGTAAAAATTGAGTCACTTAGGATTTATTCAAAAAAGTCTCACCAAGGTAGATACTAAGTAATCATTCTAATTATCAAGTCTTCCATAGGATATATCTGACATAACAAAACTAAGACATAACTGCTGGACTTCTCAATACAAATTAAGCACAGGGGAAAAAATACCAGTCAACACTTAATACAATACGTGATTCTGACATTATCTGTACGGCCCTTTATAATCTGAAGGTGAGAAAGACCTAAAAATTTAATAGTTTTTTCCAGTGTTTTTGCATGGATTTTAGCAGATATTCAGAATATCACTTGTCATACTAAATACCACATGAGACACAGGAGGTGATTGTGATAACGTCCTCGTGACATTGAACAGACTCAGAAGCAGGTCGAAACAACAATGTCCTGTGTTTTGTCTCCATATGGGTTGTTATGGAGCACTGATATACGTACAATAAGATCACAGTAAACAGGTGATATCACAATATGCAAAATAACCACAGTGGGGAAAACAGTGAACACTGAAAAACAGCTTTTTCGTGATTTTCTGACATTATCAAGAACCTTGATAATGCGGGAAATCACGAAAGCACCTAGAAATTTAATATATTTTTTTCACTACAGTGGTTATTTTGCATGGATATACATCTGGCATCAATACAAAGCGTTATTCAACGTATGTGTGGAACACTGTCACCTGCAGTACACACAGATCAACACCAGGTGGACGAGAGCAACCTGACCACACTGTGTTTGTGTATGCAATCCTCGTGTATAATACTGAGTTTAAAACATGGTAAAATATTGGTCCTACATCAACGTGTATGTGTTATTGGGGGTGTTTTATTTTGCATTGAAAAAGCAGTTATACTCTACACATTCTTACCGTATAAAACAAGTGGTTTTTTTTGGGGGGGGACATAAAATAGTATTTTGGTTTACGTAGATGAACACAGTACATGTGTAAACTCTGTATGTGTTATTTTCTGAGCAAAGTCGGTCAAATAAAGTTGTATTTTCTTATAGATCACACACTGTACTACACAGGTACATGGCTTGGTACTCTGACCGGTGCATGGCTTGGTACTCTGACCGGTGCATGGCTTGGTACTCTGCACTGGTACATGGCTTGGTACTCTGCACTGGTACATGGCTTGGTACTCTGCCCCTGTACATGGCTTGGTACTCTGCACTGGTACATGGCTTGGTACTCTGCCCCTGTACATGGCTTGGTACTCTGCACTGGTACATGGCTTGGTACTCTGCACTGGTACATGGATTGGTACTCTGCACTGGTACATGGATTGGTACTCTGCACCGGTACATGGCTTGGTACTCTACACCGGTACATGACTTGGCACTCTACACCAGCACATGGCTTGGTACTCTACATCGGCACATGGCTTGGTACTCTACATCCGTACATGACTTGGTACTCTACGCCGGCACATGGCTTGGTACTCTACACCCGTACATGGCTTGTTACTCTACACTTCTACATAACTTGGTACTCTACACCGATATATGGTTTGGTACTCTACATCGATACATGGCTTGGTACTCTACACCGATACATGGCTTGGTACTCACTCTACACTGGTACATGGCTTGGTACTCTACACCGGTATATGGTTTGGTACTCTACACCGGTACACGGATTGGTAATCACTCTACATTGGTACATGGCTTGGTACACACTACTACACTGGTATATGTCCTGGTACAAACACTACACTGGTACATGTCGTACTCACGCTACAGGGTACATTCCAATACACCGCTACACTGGAATTGTCTCATCTCACGGTACATGGCTGGTCTCAGTACTCACGAGTACACTGGTATAAGTCCAGGTACAAACACTACACTGGTACATGTCCCAGTACTCACGCTACACGGGTACATGTCCCAATACTTACGCTACACTGGTACATGTCTCAGTACTCACGGTACACTGGTACATGTCTCAGTACTCACGGTACACTGGTACATGTCCCAGTACTCACGCTACACTGATACATGTCCAAGTACTCACGGTACACTGGTACATGTCCCAGTACTTACGCTACACTGGTACATGTCCCAGTACTCACGCTACACTGGTACATGTCCCAGTACTCACGGTACACTGGTACATGTCCCAGTACTCACGCTACACTGATACATGTCCAGTACTCACGGTACACTGGTACATGTCCAGTACTCACGCTACACTGGTACATGTCCCAGTACTCACGGCTACACTGGTACATGTCCCAGTACTCACGCTACACTGGTACATGTCTCAGTACTCACGGTACACTGGTACATGTCTCAGTACTCACGGTACACTGGTACATGTCCCAGTACTCACGCTACACTGGTACATGTCTCAGTACTCACGGTACACTGGTACATGTCCCAGTACTCACGCTACACTGGTACATGTCCCAGGACTCACGGTACACTGGTACATGTCCCAGTACTCACGGTACACTGGTACATGTCCCAGTACTCACGCTACACTGGTACATGTCCAAGTACTCACGGTACACTGGTACATGTCCCAGTACTCACGCTACACTGGTACATGTCCCAGTACTCACGCTACACTGGTACATGTCCCAGTACTCACGCTACACTGGTACATGTCCAGTACTCACGCTACACTGGTACATGTCCCAGTACTCACGCTACACTGGTACATGTCCCAGTACTCACGCTACACTGGTACATGTCTCAGTACTCACGGTACACTGGTACATGTCCCAGTACTCACGCTACACTGGTACATGTCCCAGTACTCACGCTACACTGGTACATGTCTCAGTACTCACGGTACACTGGTACATGTCCCAGTATTCACAGAACTATAATCCACAATAATGCTAAGTTTCATCCCTATCTGCCGAACAATCACAAACAATGTTCCAAAATACGAGAAAAACTCCAGCATTTCGATATAAAAACATAAAATATACAAATTGACCAAAATAAACTTTGTCTCGTCAATTTTAATACATTTTGTTGATTTTTTATTGCATAAAATGTTAAGTACGTGATATATATATATATATATATATATATATATATATATATATATATATATATATATATATATATATATATATATATATATATATATATAATATATATATATATATATATATATATATATATATATATATTATATATATATATATATATATATATATATATATATATATATATAATATATTTCAAAATACTCAAAGCAGCGCCATTTCTATACTACAAGTACAAATGTCTAGTAAAAATATACAAAGAGCGGTACAAGTGTGTTCTAACATCACCTAGAATGAGTAACTAGACTGGGAGCGGTACAAACATATCTAGCAGTTAAAATATTGCCTTTACTAGACAAGAGAAAGGTTGCTAACTCTCTTGTCTGCAGAAGAGAGTTCTCAGGAGAAAGTTCACTGGGATTTCTCTTGTCTGCAGAAGAGAGTTCTCAGGAGAAAGTTCACTGGGACTTCTCTTGTCTGTAGAAGATAGTTCTCAGGAGAAAGTTCACTGGGATTTCTCTTGTCTGTAGAAGAGAGTTTTCAGGAGAAAGTTCACTGGGATTTCTCTTGTCTGTAGAAGAGAGTTCTCAGGAGAAAATTCTCAGTATACAGACTGACTCTAAAGCTAAAAAAATATTTGGCATCAGAATGAAGTATTCATTTATTTGTATCCTGGAGACCCTGGCGATGCTAATGTTGCTTTCTCGTGTTGCACATGTTGCTTCCCATGCAATAACTCCCCACAGCTGCAATTAAGAAGCTTTGCAACTCTGTTGTTACCCTAGTTCAACTTTCATTTTTGATATTAATGAAGTCAAGCTTTTGAAAGTTGGAATTTGATGAAGTGATGATGAGCTGTGTGGCGCACGATTATACGTGGCTTCGGAAGTGGACCCTTCTTACGTTTCTGCCCATTGGGGGCGAAACGTAGCATTGTATTAAGTTGTCAGAGTGGTATTGTTGGTTAATTGTGAAGTGTTGCAGACACGATATTGTGGGTTGTTTGTGAATTGTTCCAGTCACCGTATTTTGGGTTAGTTGTGGACTGTTCCAGCCACGGTATTGTGATCCATATTAATTTACATTCTTAATACGAGTGAATTTCATTTCCTAGGCACAGCGATGGATGTTGTGAGGTCTTCACGAGATGAAGACAGGATGCTGTGTGAGATTTATCAATAACAATACCACTCTGTCTCTTTAACTGACAGATGTTTAACAGCTGTCTCTTACAGTGACAGGTGTTTGACAGCTGCTGTCTCCACCGCACAAGATACCATCAAATACGGGTGAGAAGCAAAGGGAAAAAATATATATATAACAGAGGAACAGAAAGTATTACAACCCTAATATCCTATTTATTTAACCTCCACACCCGCCACATCCACCACATCCCCCACACCCTCCACACCCACCACAGCCTCCGCACCCACCACACCCACCACAGGAACCACACCCGCCACACCCATCTCCCGTGCAGGACCTGAGGAAGGAGTTGTGTGGAGCTGAATCAGCATAATAACCCAAGGCGTGGAGCAGACTTAACTTCTCCACTGGAATACGATTGGTCTGACCAACGACTGGTCTGTCAGGTCTAGGTTGACACAGAACGTGAAGCACAGCAGCACTCAGAGCCAGAGAGATGTTTTCCACCAGAGACGGGTTGCCGAGACCCACCTGCAGTACAGAAGCATTTTAGTACATGAGATGTTGAAGCATGTGATGATTCAGAAACATGTGTGACATCTATGTATCTTTATTAGGAGACGTTTCAGGTGTCCCGTAGCTCGATTGCTAGCGCACTCACCTCACACACTGAGGTCCGTGGTTTGATCCCCGGTATGCTGTCACTGTTCATCTAGCAGTAAGTAGGTACCTGGGTGTTAGTCACCATATACTTACTGCCCCTGTTAACCTAGCAGTGAATAAGGAAGTGTTTCTGGGTAGTATCCTGTGCAGGGTGAGACGTATGGGCAGTCTCCTTACACCTACTGACCCCTGTACACCTAGCAGTAAATAGATACCTGGGTGTTAGTCAACTGTCGTGTCTGGCAACTTAGATAAACCGGCAGCATACTTTAGATAGGGCGGAACTTTGTACTAAGTTACAGTAGTCTTTGGAATATTAATCTGCGTGAGAGAACAGTTTCTTACCTCCAAGACACCTCGTTCCATGTCAATGGTCACTCCTCCTAGGCAGAAAGTATACTCCCGTCGTTCATAAGGAAGAATAACCGAGCGGTACTGGAACTGTCTTAACTGGTGAATATGTAGTAGCAAATGCCCAGGTGATCCTGGTCGTCCACGTCCCTCTGAGAATGTATAAAAAAAAACAACCACGGTAATGTTAGAAAGATGTCTGGGACACCACACCAAAGAAACATTTGTATACACACGTAATGCAGAGCAAGACTTTGTTAGGGACGTTTAGTAGAGATGTTAGCTGTAATCTTTAATGGTGAAGACTTATGTATCTCAAGTCTGGTACGAAAACTCTTTTAAAATAAATGGCTTGTTTGGTTTAAAGTCTGTCTACTACAGGAGGGCCATTTAGGCTGCATATCACCTTTACACCAAGAGTAAAAAATACTTTAATACTTAAAATAGTGATTAATGTAAACTCTCAGTGTATATACACTGAGAAACACCTCTCAGTGTATATACCCTCGTTAAGGCTTGACCTCTGCATTACTCGCCCTCACACACACACACACACACACACACACACACACACACACACACACACACACATTGCCAGACTCACACATACACTCCCCCCCTCCCCCACCGACATCTCACTCCTTCACCTGATCCCTCCCCTCCCTCTTTCACCCTCCCCCTCCCCACCTCTCCCTCCTTCCCCCTCTCCCTCTCCCACTCACCCACTTGCTTCACTCTCCTTCCCACTCCCCCTCCCCACTACTCTCCCACATAGCCACAGTTCTTCCTCTACCTCCCTCCCCCCCCACACTCTGACATACACAATACTAACCTAACATACAGAATTACATAGGTTTCCCACTCTGAGGCAATCAGGATAAAACAAAAATGGGTTGCCAGAGAGCAACAAGAAAAAACAAGGGACAGGAGGAGGAAACTGCAAAGGAAGATTGGGCAGCAGAGCTCACAAAAAGGGAACATGAATGGGAAAAGAAACTAGAAGAACTTAGCATGAGAATGGAAGAGAGGATAGACATGGAAAGCAGGAAGTGGGAGGTGCAAGTCAAAGCAGCAGAGGCCAGGATACAGAGTTTAGAAGAGGAACTGAAAAATCTGAAACAGCCTAAAGAACTAAAGAACATTTTGGGATTGACAACAGAGACTGCTACCTCAGTCACAAATAAGGGGACTGTAGGGAAAGAAGGAGCAAAACTGCATGTAGAAGCTCAATCAGTGGAGACTGTAGTAAATGAAAGAGCTAAGCTATTTGTGGAGGCCCTAACAAACCACAGCAGAGCCCAGGGAAAGCCGAGAAGGGAAAAATGACAGGCCACTGAGCCCAAGTACATTAGCTAGTGAAACTGAAAAAAGGAAAGCTGCAATGGAGGAAATCAAATTGAATGAGGGGATACACAGGGATATGCAGTGAGAGAATGAAAGGATGAGATCAGTCTTTGTGTATGGGCTCCAGGAAGTTGAAGGGGAAACATATGAAGCAAGAAAACAAGGGGAAAAAAAGCAATTGAAAGCATCATGAAAACAATAGGAGACGACATGACCCAGCTGGAAAATTTTCGGAGAATAGGGGGGTTTGTAAAAAAAAAGAACCCGGCCAGTGAAAGTGACCTTCAAGGCAGAATCGACTCGGAACAGGATCCTGCAGAAGAAAGCACGATTAAGGGACATGCCAGCATACAGGAAGGTGTATCTCGACCGCGACAGAACACAAGCAGAAAGGAAGAAACAGAGAGAGATGGTACAAAGGCGAAAGGAGGAAAGAGAGGGGAGGGAGAAGACAGACAGGAGATCACAGACACAGGAAGATCAAATACAGCCTCCCTCACAACTTCCTATAGAAGCCTCTCAACCAGGTCAACCCCAGTGCAACCAAACACTCTAAACCAAAACACCCATGCCACATCCAATGCCCCCACCCACTGCATTACAAACTCCACCCCCAAAGCAACCACCCATAGTTCCTTATCAGGTCTCCCACTTCCCCAACCCCAATACACCTCCCAGACCACAATCTTAGAAAAGAAGTTGAAGGTGTGGTATACAAATGCAGATGGAATAACAAATAAGTATGAGGAGTGGCACGAAAGAATCAAGGAGAGATCCCCAGACATAATAGCACTCACAGAAACAAAACTCACCAGAATAATAAGAGATTCAATCTTTCCATCCGGATATCAAATCCTCAGGAAAGACAGAGGGAGGAGAGGGGGAGGAGGAGTTGCACTGCTCATTAAAAACCAGTGGGGGTTTGAGAAAATGGAAGGAATGGATGGCACGGGCGAAAAGGACTACTTAGTACGAACAATCCAGTCTGAGGGACATAAGGTGATAATTGCAGTAATGTACAACCCACCACAGAACTGCAGGAGGCCAAGAGAAGAATACGATGAGAGCAACAGAGCAATGGTCGACACACTAGCCGAGGTGGCCAGGAGAGCACACATGGGGGGAGCAAAGTTACTAATTATGGGTGATTTCAATCACAAGGAGATTGACTGGGAAAACCTGGAGCCCCATGGGGGTCCCGAAACATGGAGAGCCAAGATGATGGATGTGGTACTGGAAAACCTCATGCATCAACATGTTAGAGACACTACCAGAGAGAGAGGAGAGGATGAACCAGCAAGACTGGACCTTGTATTCACCTTGAGTAGTTCTGACATCGAGGATATCATGTATGAAAGGCCCCTGGGAGCTAGTGATCATGTGGTTCTGTGCTTCGACTACATAGTTGAGCTCCAAGTGGAGAGAGCAGCAGGAATAGGGTGGGAAAAACCAAACTACAAAAGGGGGAACTACTCAGGCTTGAGGAACTTCTTTCAAGACATTCAGTGGGAGAGGAAACTGACAGGAAAACCAGTACAAGAAATGATGGACTATGTGGCAACAAAATGCAAGGAGGCAGAGGAGAGGTTTGTTCCCAAGGGAAACAGAAATAATGGGAAGAACAAAATGAGCCCTTGGTTCACCCAAAGGTGTAGGGAGGCAAAAACTAGGTGTACTAGAGAATGGAAAAGGTACAGAAGACAGAAAACTCAGGAAAATAAAGAGATTAGCCGAAGAGCCAGAAACGAATATGTACAGATAAGAAGGGAGGCTCAGCGGCAATACGAAAATGGCATAGCATCGAAAGTCAAGACTGACCCGAAGCTGTTGTACAGCCACATCAGGAGGAAAACAACAGTCAAGGACCAGGTAATCAGACTGAGGAAGGGTGATGGGGAATTCACAAGAAACGACCGGGAGGTATGTCAGGAGCTCAACACAAGATTTAAAGAAGTATTTACAGTGGAAACCAGTAGGACTCCAGGAAATCAGAGCAGGGGGGTGCACCAGCAAGTGCTGGATGAGGTACACATAACCAAGGAGGAGGTGAAGAAGCTGCTATGCGAACTTGACACCCCAAAGGCGGTGGGACCAGACAACATCTCTCCGTGGGTCCTTAAAGAGGGAGCAGAGACATTGTGTGTACCATTAACGAAGATCTTCAACACATCATTTGAAACTGGGCAACTCCCTGAGGTATGGAAGATGGCAAATGGAGTCCCAATTTTTAAAAAGGGAGACAGACATGAGGCACTAAACTACAGACCTGTATCACTAACGTGTATAGTATGCAAGGTCATGGAGAAGATCATCAGGAGGAGAGTGGTGGAGCACCTGGAAAGAAACAAGTGTATAATTGACAACCAGCATGGTTTCAGGGAGGGAAAATCCTGTGTCACAAACCTATTAGAGTTTTATGACAAGGTGACAGAAGTAAGACAAGAGAGAGAGGGGTGGATCGACTGCATTTTTTTGGACTGCAAGAAGGCCTTCGACACAGTTCCTCACAAGAGGTTACTGCAAAAGCTAGAGGATCAGGCACACAGGAAAGGCACTGTAATGGATAAGAGAATACCTTACAGGAAGGCAACAACGAGTCATGGTACGTGATGAGGTATCAAAGTGGGCGCCTGTGACAAGCGGGGTTCCACAGGGGTCAGTCCTAGGACCTGTGCTGTTCTTGGTATATGTGAATGACATAACGGAAGGGATAGACTCAGAAGTGTCCTTGTTTGCGGACGATGTGAAGTTAATGAGAAGAATCAAATCGGATGTGGATCAGGCAGGACTACAAAGAGACCTGGACAGGTTACAAGCCCGGTCCAGCAACTGGCTCCTTGAGTTTAACCCCGCCAAATGCAAAGTCATGAAGATTGGGGAAGGACAAAGAAGACCGCAGACACAATGTAGTCTAGATGGCCAAAGTCTGCAAACCTCACTCAAGGAAAAAGATCTGGGGGTGAGTATAACACCGAGCATATCTCCTGAGGCGCACATCAATCAGATAACTGCTGCAGCATACGGGCGCCTGGCAAACCTAAGGATAGCGTTCCGATACCTCAGTAAGGAGTCGTTCAAGACTCTGTATACCATTTACGTCAGGCCCATACTGGAGTATGCAGCACCAGTTTGGAATTCACACCTAGTCAAGCACGTCAAGAAATTAGAGAAAGTGCTAAGGTTTGCAACAAGACTAGTCCCAGAGCTACGGGGATTGTCCTACGAAGAAAGGTTGAGGGAAATCGGCCTGACGACACTGGAGGACAGGAGGGTCAGGGGAGACATGATAACGACATATAAAATACTGCGCGGAGTAGACGAGGTGGACAAAGACGGGATGTTCCAGAGAAGGGACACAGACACAAGAGGTCACAATTGGAAGTTGAAGACTCAGATGAATCAAAGGGATGTTAGGAAGTATTTTTCAGTCATAGAGTAGTCAAGCAGTTGGGAATGCCTAGAATAGTGAAGTAGTGGAGGCGGGAACCATAACATATTTTAGGCGAGGTATGTAGTCATGGAGCAGGACGGAGAGAGAAGGACTAGTCAGCAAGTCAGTGAAGTTGAGCGGATCAGGAGCTATGATCGACCCTGAACCAGAAAGTAGGTGAGTACAAATACGATAGTAAGGCAGTAACATCAAAACGGAGCAAAACAACAACACAAGAGGCAAGCCAAGCTAGACTGACACACAAAACAAAAGTACCACATAGTATCAACACATACCCGAACACAACACATACACAGTCACACAACACACAAACACACACATGCACATCAAGCACACACACACACACACAACACACAA